GCAGTATGGGCCGAAAAGTCCCGGTCCTGAGCTAGTTCCTTGTGCCTCTGCACCCAACAGGACGGGGCAGGCCTAGGAGCTCAACAGGTTGGGGAAGGGGTGCCAACTTTGTGCGTGAGATGGGAGAGACCGTTCCTCACCACCAGCCCACACAGTTTAATCACGGACAGGGTCTTTCTTTAAAGCCTTTCCAGAGAACAGAGGGCCCCTCAAAGTCACTACTGGATGTGAAACCCAAGTATGGCCGAGTCCAGAGCCAACTCCAGGCTGGTGCTGCAGCAATGGGAGCGCTCCTTCCCTAGGATGGTCGGTCGGAGTCTCCCAGGTGGACAGGATCCCCACTGATTCCCACCACCTGCTGTACATGGGCTCCACTCCTGTCTCTGTTGCTCTGGGTTGGGGATCCCTGCGTGGGGTTGAGGCCCCACATTCCTAGGGGGAGGGAGTTTTGCAGCTGTGCTGTCCCTGAGGCTTCTCAGCTGTCCCCGCATGAGGGGGATCTCCCTTTCAGCTTCTCCACCCCTCTTACCAGTCTCTACCTGGCTTTTCCTGTGCTCCTTGGTTCTAGTATTTCAGCTCAGCTGTAGTTTAGTTTGTTTTTCAAGTGGATTGCTCTGTAATTTAGCTGTAAATCCGGTCTGACTCTGGAAGCAAGCGACACAGCCTCCAGCTACTCTGCAGTTATCCTGGAATCCCAGCTACTCTCATTTGCTTATTTGACAAATCAATGGAAAAGATGTCAGTGCCCCTGACTCAATAGTCAGGTATTGCATGTTTGAAAGATTCTTGCAGTGCACTGTTTGACAGTTGCTGCCCTATAGCAAGCATGTCAAACTTGCAGCCTACATGTTACATACCTGGTTTACTTATTTAAAGAGGCCTGCGGCCCATAGGCCATGAGTTTGACATGCTTGCCCTACAGTCTAGCACTGATAAGAAAGGTAACGGGTCTGCTGAGTTGCAGTTTCAGCAATGATGTGGGCAAGCACCTGGGAAACCAAACATCAAGGCTGCAGCTCAGCTCTGACAAAAGTGCAGCTACTGAAGTCCATGAGGGGCTGCAGGTAATGCTGAGGCTGCAGCATAGCCTCAGTGCCCAGCAACCTAAGAAACTGGGTGATCTTCCTAGACCTCATCTTTCACACAGGGAGGTTCATGGTCATCTGCATGAAAGCCATTGTCATCATCATTTGAGATCTGACTCTTCTCACCTGTTTTGGTGTAACTGAGGAAGGCAAAGGTTATCATTGTAACAGGAGTGTCTGGGTTGGGTCATAAATAAAATTAGACTCTGTTGTAATGAGGAATTAGACAAGGGAAACTCTATAGTTTGTGTTACAGCGGGATCCCAGGGCATTGAGAGGGAGTACTTAATAGGCTAGGCGGTAGCAGTTAATAGAAGCTAAGTTGCAAACAGAGAAAACATATAGGGCTTCTGAAATAAAAGTCACCTTAAATAGGAGTTTGTGTAGCTACCAGGATCAGACTTGTCAGGTAGGCTCTGTGGGGAGTGGAGAGCAATGGTTCAGTTCAGCCTCCATGCTGATGCAGATCTCTGGGAGGCACACAAACATCCTAGGATGGGGATGTTAATAATGAACGAGTTTTATCATTTGGGGCACAAGTGGCTCTACTATGGGATCCTCCTTCAAAAAATTGCATTATGGGAAACAAGACACTCTCCTACCAGCCGAGGAAACTGGCATTATAGCCTCTACAACACACAAGGAGATGCTATAGCAGCAACAACACCCAGGAGCAGTTGGCACCAACAATGGAGTGGCCAAAGGAGAGCATTGCAGGCATAGGCAGCTGGTGTGTGGACCTAGGCAAAGGCTTGATGCAAGAGATGAAGCCACAGGGATCTAAAGGGTGCAGAGATGACAGCAACAGCAGTAGGTCAGGCAACTGCCCCATGGCCACTGGAGTGAGAGTTTCCTGGGGGACGCCCGCAATAGTGTAACAGCAGCTCAGGGGTCCAAGCTGCTTCCTAGAGCAATACACAGAGGAAACACCAGCTAAGGAAGTGGAGAGATGAAGGCAAGGATGTAAGGACTCCATCCCATAGAAAGCAAGTGAGGGATCTCCAAGATCTAGAACAAGAAGCAAAAGAGTGACTCCTGCAGGTGGCAGCTCCCCTGCCACTGTCCTCACAGAATGCTGCAGCCTCTGCAACCCCTCTAGTTCCTCCACCCCTGCCCAGAAATGCCAAGAAGCCCCCAGCTCTTTCCCACTATCTGGGTAGTAATGTTGAGGTGAAGGACAAAGAGAAGTTGGCATAGCAAGCCCTGACAGTTGAAATACGCAAATGCATATGTTTTTGCAATAGTTGTAGGTTATTGTGCAACTTGCTTCTTCATCTGCTCCTCACTCTGCTTTCCTGGCTTTGGTTTTCTCAGGAACTCATATTCGTGGAAATCTGTAAAACCCAGACATTGATGATGCCGCTGAACTCACAGAGCTCAGTGAGATGCACATGAGGTCATCCACTGAGGGTGCTCTGTAAACTCTAAGGTGACATGTGTGTAGTGTTAGGAAAGTTTCCAGAACCCAGATGGGGTGAGTGTGAGTGAGTCAACAAGGAAGAAAATTGTCCAAAGGAGTTCTTAAACGACCAACACCAGGTGGCTCAGGTTGCAGGGCAGCATAAATAGCCTGTGCCTATGGACCAAGGAAGCGCTCATTTGCCTGGAGACCCTGGGCACTGGAGGTCGCAATGGTGAGTGTCTGTGCCGGCCTCTCATTTTGTTTCCTCTGTGTCCAGCGAATGTCCCCCTGCCCATTGGGGTGCTCTAATGCACTGGTGTTGAGGAAGACAGGGTCTATGTAGATCTTCTGCTCTGGGAGGTGTGAGTATGGGTGTGGGTATGAGAGGGCAGCATAGTGGGGAAGAAGGACCATTCTTATGCCCCTCACTCTGCTTCCTTTGCTCAGTGGGAGATTAGCCTTCTGGGCTGGGGGAGGGTGGGTGAGTGGGATATGACACCCACCCAGACCCCAGATGCCATTGTCAGGAAGCCTGAGGTGGGAATGCAATTTCAACTTCTCGCTTGGCTCTCTCCATCCCTGATTTCTTCAGAAAGAAGGTGGTGGAGGAGAAACAGCCCCGGCCTTCTCAGGCCTGGGGTCAAAGTCCATCCTGGTACCAACTGCCCGTTGGACATGGATAAACATGATTTTCTTTTAGCTTCAAATCTTTGTTTTAAAAATACACTTACTGGAGGAGTTTACTGATTTCCAATTAATTTTTAGAGGAGTCATTTTTCAATAATACTTTAGTCTGAAATTGAGGCATAAAGTGAACACTATGTTGGTTTAAGGGGATGTGACTGTGCCCAATACCGCTACAGGCCCAGCGAAGAGGCCTCATCCCAGTCCTAGGTCTTCAACCCAGTGAGGGGGCTCCTGCCCAGGCCCCTTTCCGCTTCTATGAGCTGTGGTGCCCTCTGTGCCATCTTGAGCTGTTGGGCAGAATGCCTGTGGCTTTTCATTCTTCCCCAGATGTGGGCACAGGGCCCTTGATGTGGCAGCTGCACACCAGGGGGCAATGCCCTGACTCTGGCTGGAGCCTTTGGTGCTCATGGCCGAGCCTCTGCCCCAGCAAGTGCCACGCTGCTGGCCTGTGAGCTTGCCTGGTGTTTAGAGACTCCCATGATGCCCGAGGAAGTGGTAAACTCAGAATGAGAACTAACTGGTGCCAACAGGTTCCGCAGCCCAGAACCACCAGCAAGTGGAGAAGAAAGCACTTCTGTGGCCAGGAAGGCCCTCCACTGCCTCCCCCTCAGGCTGCCTGGCGATCCCATCTCCTTTGCTCTGTCCTTCAGGCTTGTTCTCAGCCTCTGCATCTCCCTTGTGCGCTTTCCTGGCTCCTAATTTTACAGTTTCTCTCAAGAGGAAAGAAGCCCACCATTGGGAGTGACCAGGTCCTGCACCCACCCTGACCTCACTTAGCTGCGGAGTCCTTCTCACATGTCACTGGACACCCTATTGAACATGTTTTTTCTCCAACTAAAACCACCCTTTCCCTGACAGAGCTCACCTCACATGCCCTCCTCCATGAGGCCCCTCTCCCAAGTCGTCCCAGGTGGAGGGGCAGCACTCTAGGCGTCCCAGGGTCTCTCCAGCAATTCTGAGAACTTTTTCTGGTTTCCATCTGGAACTTTCTTCATGGAGACAACGACTAGTGCAGGAATGGCAGACCACCTGGCAAACATGTAGCCATGTGCCCACCTTGTGTTAGGACAGATGTCACTGAGCATTCTGGCTCCTTTACAGACAAGCACTGAAACCGCCAGTGCTGGTCCATCCAAGGCTACAAGTGACAGGAAATGGGTTTGCCCGGCCACCTTGCTGATACAGACAGGGAGACGGAGGTTCAAAGAGGGGAACTGTCCTGCCCAAAGGCACTTCATGAGTTCTTCCTGATGTGACAGGTGGCCTCAGTGAGGAGTTCACATCCTAGCCGTGCCGATGGCAGTGAAAGGGAAGTCACTAGAAGGGACAAAATGGGACATCTGAGAAGAGGTAGATGTTGCTGATAACCATGTCAGAGTTCAGCTGGGTAACTCATGCCCTCCCAGGCCAGACTGTATGGCCGCCTTGTCCTAAATTGTTTTTGGAGTCCTGCTGCTCCTTATCCCACAGAAGGGATGAGGTGGTAGGAAAGTGCCTCTCTGACTTCCGGGAGCTAAGTAATAACCCGTGTTCTGGAATCAAGAGCATGTCCTTTGCCCTAACTGGTTTGGCGCAGTGGATAGAGCATCGGCTTGTGGACTGAAGGGTCCCAGGTTCGATTCCGGTCAAGGGCATGTACCTTGGTTGCGGGCACATCCCCAGTGGGGGTGTCCGGGAGGCAGCTGGTCGATGTTTCTCTCTCATCGATGTTTCTAACTCTCTATCCCTCTCCCTTCCTCTGTAAAAAATCAATAAAATATATATTTTTAAAAAATTCTAAAAAATAAAAAAGCATGTCCTTTCTCTTTCTGTCCACCCTGAAGGCCATGCTTCTCCTCTCCGTGCTGGTCCTACTCACACAGCCTCCAAGGTCATTGGGAGCAGAAGTGAAGACCCTTCCCCAGAAACCTTTGATTGATAACTGCACCCTGGTCACATGTAGCCCTGTGGAGAATGGCCTGCCTGGTCATGATGAACAAGATGGGAAAGAGGGCCCCTTGGGCGAGAAGAGGAATCCAGGTAGAGCTGCGACCGTGGGCTTGTCCTGGTGGGCATGGGTGGGCACTGGAATCGTAACCAACTCAGCAACTCTGGATGTTCTGCTGTGGAAGCCCTGGAAATGGAAACCCACCTCCTTGGGAAGAAGTCCCCTAGACATTCAGTCCACCTAAAGCACCTCATTACCAGTTGCCAAATGACAGGCTTCCCTGAGCCCCGAGGTGTTATTCCCCTGCCCTAGCTGTCAGGATTCCTTTCCTGGGATCTTCTGATTCCTCTCACCCCAAGAAGGAGCAAATTGTGGGTAAATGCCTGGTCTTCGGAGCCCCGTGGAACTAAGTTGCGGCACTTATAGTTGGTCATTATGGTTGAATGATTTCTGTGCAGTGTGTGAAATATTTAACTGCATTAGAGATTGGCAAAGATGAGGCTCTGTGGCCCCACACTCAGGCCTGATCAAAAGGATTTACTTAAATGCACTACGGAGAGGAGGAAAGGGAGCTCATATTTTATAACTGGACTTTTGTAGCTTTTGACCTTCACCCGTTTTTCCCACCACCCAGCTCCCATCTTAGGCAACCACCAATAATCTGATCTCCACATTTATGAGTTCAGGTTCTTTATTTTGTTTCTTAGAATCCAGATATAAGTGAGATCATATTGTATCTGTCTTAATTTGTATGACTTATGGCACTTAGCATAATTCCTTCAAGATCCATTCCTGTTGTGGCAAATGGTATGATTTTTTAAAATATATTTTATTGATTTTTTACAGAGAGGAAGGGAGAGAGATAGAGAGTTAGAAACATCAATGAGAGAGAAACATCGATCAGCTGCCTCCTGCACATCTCCCACTGGGGATGTGCCCTCAACCCAGGTACATGCCCTTGACCGGAATCGAACCCGGGACCCCTCAGTCCGCAGGCCGACGCTCTATCCACTGAGCCAAACCGGTTTCGGCATGGTATGATTTTTTTTTGTCACTAAATAATATTCCAGTGTGTGTGTGTGTGTGACATTTTTATCCATTCATCCATTATGGACACTATTAGGTTGTTTCCATCTGTTGGCTACTGTAAAAAATGTTGCAATGAACATGAGAGTAGAGATATCTTTTCAAATTAGTGTTTTATTTCCTTTGGATATAACCCAGATGTGGTATTGCTGGATCATACTTTTAAAAAAAATTATTATTATTTTTTAATATTTTTTATTCATTTTTTACAGAGATGGAGGGAGAGGGATAGAGAGGTAGAAACATTGATGAGAGAGAAACATGGATCAGCTGCCTCCTGCACACCCACTACTGGGGATGTGCCCACAAACAAGGTACATGCCCTTGACCAGAATCAAACCTGGGCCCCTTCAGTCCACAGGCCGAAGCTCTATCCACTGAGCCAAACCAGTTAGGGCTAAATTATTTTTTTAATGTCTTAAGGAAACTGCATATTGGTCCCCATAGTGGCTGCACCAATTTACAATCCCACCAACAGTGCATTGGGGTTCTTCTTCTCCGCATCCTCACCAACACTTGACATCTTTTGTGTTTTTCATAGTCGCCATTCTAGGGGGGGTGAGATGATATCTCGTGGGTTTAATTTGCATTTCCCTGGTGACTCATGTCAGGGATCATTTCTGATATAAAGTTTGGTCCTAGGAAGAGGAAAGCAACGAGTCCATGGCCAAGGTAAAAGCTGGCAGATCCCCTGCTGTAAATCCTCAGCCTTGGGACAGGGAAAGTGCACTGTATGGAAATCAGACAGTTCTTGGCTTGACCCCCCATCCAGCTCTGGCAGGGCTGTTTCCTCACCTGTGAAACGGGGATGTGCACACCCGTCTCCTGGGTCACCACTGGACTGAGGAGTGTGGAGGTGGAATGTCTACACCTGCGGAACCTGAAGGAATGCAGGGCTGACCTGCAGGTGCTGCTCCTCCTAGGCCCAGGGCCAGGTTTATGCCCATTTATGGTGCTGCTACAGGTTCACCAGGAGCTAGAGAGCAAATGGGGATGCTGGATGTCCCCAAAGAGGACAATAGCTCTGCTGGAGAACCTGGACCGAAGGGAGACTCGGGGCCACGTGGTGAGCGGTGGGCGTGGACTGCAATGCCTGCCACTAGGCCATGCGGGAGGATGCACATACCCATCCCAGGAAGGAGGGTGCCCTGCGGGTGGCACTGGGTTCACACAGGGAAGGCTGTAATACTGCTGGGTGGCGTCTGTAAGATGGTGCTGTTCTCTGACCTCTATGAGTGCTCTCACCTTCTCGTACTCTCCAACTTCTAAGAAGACTCCATGCACTGACTGGCTGGTCCTTTTCCCAGGACCTCCGGGACCTGCAGGTGTGCGCGGGCCGGCTGGAAGAGAGGGTCCCTCAAGAATACAGAGGAGTGTAGAACCCCAAGGTAAACCAACCCCCAAAAGAGAGCCAGAACCCAAAGGTAGGAGGTTGGCCTGTGTAGGTCCGGAAGGGAGAGGGAGGAATGAAGTTGGCAACCCATGATGTGACCTAAGGATACTCAGCGTGCCAGTGAAGCCAGGCCATCACCACTGGCAGGCCTTGCTGTGGCCCCTGCCCCCCCCAAACCTCCACATCAGAAGTAGCCCAGACAGTGGGGTGCACAGCCCCCCAGTTCCCCTTCTCTACGTGGAGCTGGGGAAATCATCCAGCCTGCAGACACTGTCAGCAGCCTTTGTCCTAATCTGTACCTTCCTCAGGAGAAGTGGGTGCCCCAGGCGTGCAGGGCTCTGCAGGGACAAGAGGCCCCCCAGGTGTCAAAGGGGAGAAAGGTGCCCCTGGTGAGCGTGGAGACCCTGGATTTGCAGGGGCAGCTATGACAGTGGCTGTGGGCTTCCTGGGGTCCAGCTCCTTACCTCTCCCCCAGGAAACCCTGTCACTGAGCACCCTTCCCTTTGGGACCCGGACTCTGAGCCAATTCCTGACTGTGGGGGACTGGTCTTCACTGTGCCTCTCTCTCTTCTGCAGACATTGCTGCTCTGTGGCAGCAGCTAGAGGCCTTGCAGGGGCAGGTAAGACACCTGCAGGGAGCCTTCCTTCAGTATAAGAAAGGTGAGTTCCTGCACCTGGACCTGAACCTGAGCCAGTCGCCGAGGGCAGGCCCCAGGCAGGGTCTGTGTTGGGTTTGGAGTTGGCCGGGCCTGAGGCAGGCCTGGTTCTAGGATTGGGGGCTCTAGGATGCTAGTGGGCTTGGACAATGGGCTGGATCTGGGACTGGGGCAGGAACTGGGGTTAAGGATAGGGTGAGGCGGAACAGGGCAGCCACATGTTCCAGGAGCTGGAAGCAGATGCCAGGGACACGGAGCAGGGAGTAGGCCTGACACCAGCTCAGTGGGCTGGCAGCAGCATGGTCAAGGCTACCAGGCTCCAGCCCCCAACATCACAGCCACCTGTGACCTGAGCCAGATCAATGCCCCAAGCCCAGTGCAGTTCAGACCTTCCCTCCTGCCCACCTGTGCTGGTCCCTGGACACCCCACTACCCAGGATGCATTTCTTATCTCTATGGGGCTAGATGTGCAAACCCCTCAAGATGTAGCTGCCCAGGTCACAGCAGCAGCGACTCCTGACACTGTCCTGAGAGTTGGGGCTGGGATGCTGTGCTTGGGATCAAGTCTGTGAGGGTCTGACCTTGGCATGTGGCCATTGAGAGTCTCACCTGAGACAGGCCCTGGGTCCGGCAGGGGGCAGGCTGCCTCTGGGCTCTGCCAGTGCTGGGCTCTCCCGCTGCTCCCTGGGTGTTCATGGTGGAGACTCTCCCCTAACCTGGGTGCTGAGGAGTCAGAGGCTCCAGCAGCACAGCCCAGTGCCTGTGCCTGTGGGCATCTCCACCTCAGTCCCTAATTTCCCCCCCTCCTCCCCGATTTCCCCTGTCAGCTTTGAGCTCAAATCATTCAGCAAATCTCATTGATGCAAAGAGGAGTTTCTGAAGGAGGAGAGCACACAGGGGCGAGACATGGAATTAGCTCCTACCTACCTAAGGCCACTGAGTACCCACGTATCAAGGGTGAGGTTTCAAGCATTTGGTATGTCTCCCTCTCTCCACAAACATGCATGTGTGCTCACTCCCTCACATGCACACTGATGCAAACAAAGGAAAATTCATGGTATACACCTGACACACCTGTGTGTATTACACACATGCCATCACTCACCTCACGTCATGTACACCCACGAGCACACATGCATATTCACACACACCAGGTGGACCTTCAGTGCTCCCATGTGCCTTCAGATGGACACGTGGCCATATTCCTGTATGCACACACAGACCTACTCAGGTGCATGTAGTGAATGGCAGAGGAACTCCTGTCCAGGGCTGCTCTGGGTGCCCTCCTGAGCCCTTGAAGAGTCTGCCCCCTGAACGCTTGTGGAAGGGTCACAGTGAATCGGGGTGCAGCCTGGGCTCCTCACCAGCCCTTTGGGGCTAGAGCACAGCCCTCTCAGGAGCCCTGAAGGCTTCTATTCAAGAACCCAGAAGTCAAAGGGATGGAAAATGAGCCAGGCCAGCATGGCCCAGTGGTTGAGTGTCGGCCTATGAATCAGGAGATCATGGTTCGATCCCTGGTCAGGGCAGGATCCCCAGTAGGGGGTGTGTAGGAGGGAGCCAATCAGTGATTCTCTGTCATCATTGATGTTCTATCTCCCTCTCCCTCTCCATTCCTCTCTGAAATCACTAAAAATATACTAAGCCCTGACTGGTTTGGCTCAGTGGATAGAGTGTCGGCCTGTGGACTGAAAGGTCCCAGGTTGGATTCCGGTCAAGGGCGTGTACCTGGGTTGTGGGCACATCCCCAGTGGGAGGTGTGCAGGAGGCAGCTGATCGATGTTTCTCTCTCATCGATGTTTCTAACTATCTCTCTCCCTTCCTCTCTTTAAAAAATCAATAAAATAGATAAAAAAAACACACATTAAAGCACACACACTAACTCACTTAAAGGGATGGAAAATGAGATGGACTGAAAAGTGATGTTGAATGTCACACAGGTGATGCTTTTATAAATTGTATTCCCATCTTAGAGATGAGGAACTGGAGACCCCCAAAAGGAAGTGACTTTCCCTTGTCCACCTGGACAGTCATGGCCAAGGCCGGCCTGAATACCTGGCCCTCTGACTCCCAGACAGGCCTCTCTCCAGCACTGACTCTCTCCTGCCCCTGACGCCCATGCACACCTCTCAGCTGTCCTTGTCCTCTCTCCCAGATCTCTAGCCTCACCCACATGCACACCTAGAGGCCAGCACTGGGCGCACACAGTGCAGAGATTAGCACAGTGCTGCCCTCAGATGGCCCACCCTCTCCTCTTCTTTCCCACATCCACACCTGGCACGGATCTCCCTGTCAATGCCACATGCCCTGCTGTTATGCAGGGTCCACAGTGAGATCAGAGGGAGCACCATCCTTGTTTCCAGCTCTCAGAGGCTGCACGATGCCAAAGCTTCCCAGTCCCACCCAGTAACTGGGAAACCGACTCTGCCATGCAACGTGGGGTGCAATAGAAAGAGCACGTCTCAGCTCTAGTGTGAGATCAGATAAGGGTGACCCCCAACTCTGCATGTGATGGTCACATGAAGTTGAGCCTCTTACTTAACCTCTCTGAGCCCAGTGTTCTCACCTGTAACTAGACAGGCAGATCCACCTCCCAGAGCGCACCGCGGAGCCGGGGTCTCACTTTTGTCCTCCCTGGTGCTCTGATGCCCTATATGGGAGGCCTGGGGCTCTGGTTGGAGCACAAAGGTCTCAGAGCCTTGGAGCTTTGGCAGGTGCCCCCATAACCCCAACCTGACTGTGCTCTCCTCCTAGTGGAGCTCTTCCCCAACGGCCGAGGTGTTGGCCAGAAGGTCTTCAAGGCAGCAGGCTTTCTGAAAACTTTTTATGAAGCACGGCAAGTGTGCGCACAGGCCGGTGGGCAGATGCCCTCCCCACGCTCTGCAGCTGAGAACCACGCCTTGCAACTGCTGCTGGAGGCTGAGAACAAGGGTGCTGCATTCCTGAGCATGACTGACTTCAAGACGAAGGGCAGGTTCACCTACCCAGGAGGGAAGCCCCTGGTCTATTCCAACTGGGCCCCTGGGGAGCCCAACGACGAAAACGGCAATGAGCACTGTGTGGAGATCTACACCAACGGCCAGTGGAACGACAAGCCCTGTGGAGCGAAGCGCCTTGTGATCTGCGAGTTCTGAGCCCTCGGGCTGAGCGGGACAGCCGTGGTCTAGGAGCCTGGCCCAGACACCTGTGCTGCTGACATGACAAGGAAGAGCTGATGGCTCTGTGGCCGGGCTTCTGCACAGAGCTGTGGGATGAGGCCATCCAAGGGCTCCCATGGAACTCCTCTCTCAGAATAAAATACGAAACTGGCTTCACTGTCTGCTCTGTCAGAGGAAGAAGGGCCAGCTTGCTTTCCCAGTTGCAAGGGATAAAATTAGTCCCCAAAATCCAAAGGCTCCTCCTCAGCCCTCTGCCTCCTCAAACTCTCAACCCAGCTAGTCACTCCCTCCTCTGTCGCTCCCTCCTCTGTCACTCCCTCCTCTGTCACCTCCACCTCTTGCTTTGGTGTCCCCTTATGGCAGTTCCTTATCATCCTCTTTTGCTAGCCCCTCCTCCTCTGCTTGACCACTTAATGGTGACCTGCTCAAGCCTTAGCTCTCCGTTCTCTCCCCTCCTCACCCTCACTCCAGGGATGAGCTCATTCTGTTCAGGGCTCAGATCCCTGGCACCCACATTACATGCCTGCTCAGGACCTCCCGGAGCCCCGGACCCCTTGGCCAATGCCAGTTGGAGCCCCAGGGCTGGGCGGTTCCAGTGGCTGCTCCTTGTTTCAAGGCCTGAGCCCCGGAAGGTGCACAGCACCGTGGGCTGACCTGGCAGGTCATCTGCCTCCCTGGCAGGACTGTGTGGCCCAGTTCAGCAGCCTCCTCCGCATCCCTGCACACCAGGACCTCATTCTGCCCTGTCATTGTGACTGCCTGTCGGCTCATGGGAGGGAGTCCCACCTGCACAATCCCCATTCCAGCTGAGATCTCAGGCACAGAGGGTCCAGCCAGGCTCAGGTTCACCCCCAGCCCTGCCCTGGCCTCAGTCCAGGAGGTTCTTCCCCCAGGCCGCCTCAGAGACAGCTGGACAGTTCCTTCACCTCCTCCCATAGAGGGGAGTGGGGGGTGGCTTGCTCTAGACCCCAGTGCTACAACTTGGTCACATGAAAGGTCATCTGATCCTAAACCTTATACTTCTGGCAGGTCAACTTTTAGACCAAAGGCCTCTGTATACCAGTTTATTTTAATGACACTTGTGCTTAAGAAATTGGAAGGACACCTGGATGAAGCCCAGGCTCATAGGAGAGGCAACAAGACAGGAAAGGAACCCTCCTTTGTTCCCAGGGACCGGAGGCCACACCCCTCTTTCCAACACTCAGCAGCCACACCTCAGATGTAGGACAGCAGGTCTGAAAGCAAAAAGCCACATCTAATAACCATGGTGTCAGATGGGTAGGGGATTGATCGGGATGATCACTTAGTAGGTTATGTAATGACTAATAACTGGGATGTACACCTGAAGTTAATATCACACAGTATGTCACCTATAATTTAAAAATGAAAAATAATTTAAATTAATAAAGTGATTATTGACAGGTTAAAAAAAAAAAAAAAGAAAACAAAAACCACACCTCCCAACAGCACACAGCTGTCTCTCTGCTGAGACCTTTTGCCTGTTACTGAAAAAAAAAGCCCCAAGTCCTGGCAGCTTCTGAAATATGTCAGTTATGCAACAGGGAGCAAATAATCTTCAATTCAGGAGTCAAACCTGGACACCATCCGCCAGGAAGCTTAGAAAGGTATTTCATTGCAAATACAAAGGAAAAAGCAGTGGATATGGTTTAAGCCCAAGGAGGCATTTTTTCTAAGAATGAAGAGTTCTGAGGTGGCTCAAGGACTGCGGGTGCACAAGCAGCACTGTGCGGTCTCCCTGCTTCTGCCTCTGTGCATCCTCGCCTCTCTTCCTCCTTCTCCCACCACCTTCTTCTGCTTCAGGCTCTCAGCTGCCCAAGCACAGAGTCATGTGTCACACAGAGATCAGAAACTCTGGCTTGATATCAGGTCAAAATTCCTGTGGAAGTGAATCTGCCTGTCTCAGATGCCCACCTCTGGCCCAACAGATTAAGCCTGAGGGTGGACCACACAGCACAGTATGGCCATTGGGACCCATGGAAGGTCATGGTGGTCTGGCAGTCCCTCTAAAAATGACCACTTCCCATCCCAGCATGTAAGGCAACCTATTTCTTTGACAAAAGTGGAGGGAAATGGCAAAACTGACTCAATAGGAAGAAAAGAACTGTCCGGTGGGGTTGAGGACAGGACTGTTGAGATCCCAGGCCCTTGGAGGAGCTCTAGTTCCACCTCAGCACGGGGTCCAGTTCGCTCTCCAGCACAGAGAACAAGTAAGGAGGGTTCATTTGGGTTCCGTAGATACAACCCCATGAAAGCAAAGGATTAAGGCAAGTATTTCAGAAAATTCAGGTTTTAACCCTTTCTTAGCACAGAGACCTCTCCTACACTCACATTCATGGGCAGAGGTGAACACGGGCATTAAACTGCATTAGCTCTGCCCCACCCATAGTAGCCTTGATCCCTAGTGTAGTAGCCTGGGTGCCAAGTGAAGCCAGAACTGTGTGACTCTGACCTCTCAGGAGATGCTATGACCCTCACAGTGCCAGGTGATGTCCTGGGAGCAGCCTGGGGTCCTTCCACGTGGGAGGGTGACAACCACAGCAGCTCCATGGGGAAGCCCCTGCTCAGTTCCATAGTATATTCTCAGATCACCTCCTGGTTCTCAACCCTCCTGCTACTCAACCAACCCACTTGCCAGCATGAACTGACAGTGGGGCACACTCTGATGTTTGTTGGTGTTAGGATCTTTTATCTTTGTCCTGAATTTCATTGATATAAAACACCGAGAACTGAGTTGCTTAAGTTCAGGGCATTCTCAATCACTCTTGTCTTCCGGATATCCTTAATTCAAGCTTAATGGTGTGCTTGACCTTTTCAAGCTACCGGTGTTTATATACTAGAGTCAGGAACCCAGGTATCTACCAGAGGGGACAACATATTTATAAGCTAAATATCTATCCAGGCACCTCATCATACCCTCATAGATGCTATAAGCCCTGAACATCCCTGATATGAGGAATAAGCTGAAGAACTGTGTCCCTGCACACAATAGAGGCACTCAACAGGAAGATTTGAAATGAGTGGATATTTGTAAAACCTTTTAACCAGGAGAATAGAGGAAAGCCATCTCTTTGTGGGATCAAGAAGCTACTGAGAGACCAAGACACTTATTATTGTCCACGCCGCGTCCATTAGGCCCCCTGATGGCCAATAGCAGGTGTCTTCTCATAGGCTTTACTGTTGTAGCTTTTGTGTGTCTGTGAATATTTCAATACGAGAGACCTTATGAAGGCTGGTCTGTGACCTGTGTCGCTTCTGGGTAGAAGCAGATAAGGGCAGTTGCACTGTCTGAAACACCCTATTCTCCGCTGCCATGGTGGGCGCAGCAGCATTGCTGGTTACAACATGTTGTGTAACCCGGCATTCCCGAAACCTGAGCAAATGCAGGGGAAATAGCTGCTCTTGAAGATCACTTGGATTGTTCTACCTGGACCTTGAGTGAGATTTGGAGGTTGTCACTGCAGCATACGTAGCCCATGTTTACTGCATAAATTTTGAATATTAACCTACTTGGCTTTCAGTTACCTAAGCAATATAGTCTCTCTCAGGCTGCCTGACTCAAACAACCTTGAGCTACAGAGCGACTCAGAAGGGTGCTCCCTACATGAGCAAAATGGTACTTTTCATATTTGTTTCATAAGAAGACAGTGAAAAAATGAAAGAGTTGAGTGAATGAAATCCTGAATTCCTATTTGTAAGCCTGTTTGTACGGTTGAATAAAGTGTTTTCAAGACATTTCCAGGCCCATTGACCTGAGGAAATAGCACTGTGACCCCACTGCCAGCCTCTCTGCACTTTTATTAATTCCCTGAATGCTTCATTTCACATGTAAGTGGCTGATGTCAGGCCAAGGCCAAAGGTCATATGACAACTTAAGGCCAAGGGAATGCGTTCTGTCATCAGAGGGCTGGATCAGGGCAGGAAGGGGAGGGTACAAGTGCTGCTGAGTTTTGAGCAAGCCCAGGACGCCTGGCCCTGGCCACAGAGGCCTGAGAGGATAGGAAGTGGACTAGAGGGATGTGAGTTCTCCAAAGACTCAGTTCCAAAATGGATTGAGGCTGGAGGACCTCATCAGGAGGTCTTATGATAGAATAAACAACCTAGAACAGTCAGAAAAATTACTTAAAGTACAATGAGAATGGAGTTGGTCCTCTTATGTCAAAAGGTTTTATAAAACGAACATAATTATGATAGTGTGTTACTAACACAGGAACAGATGGGCCAAATATAAAGGCCACTAAAAGTATGTCTATACATATACGTCCTATATGCATGATAAGAATAGATTACCATGGTTATGGGAAAATAATGAATGTTTCAATTAATAATTCTCAGTTAAATGGGTAAGCATTTAGAGGAAAAATAAATCTGATTTTTTATTAAAATATAAAACTTCTCTGCCAAAAAGTAAAGCAATGTAAGATTAAAATTGAAATGCTCATTTATTTGCACATTTATTTGCAAATAAATTTATATAAATTTACATAAATTTATATAACAGATAAATCAACAAGAAAATGATGAATATTGAAGCAGGAATGAGAACAGAAATATCTAAAATGAGGAGAGAAAATTCATGAAATAAGATATACTGATGGCCAATAGTAATGAAACATGAAAAATGTACAATCTTAGTAGTAATTAAAGAAACTCAAATTAAACAGCAATAAGCTTCCAAAAATTTATGGACTAGAGTTCAAACTATACTAGAGGAAAATGTATTTTACTTTAATTATAAAAAATGACAAAATAAAAGCATGGATATTGAGTGTGGTGTTAAGCCATCCCTGAAGCATCTATCCATCCTCCATCTCAGACAGTGAGTGCTTCTGTTCTGGACTCCTCAGACCCCTTGCACATGGTGCATTCTAAATGCACCCACCTTTCCTGGTCCCTGCCCTTGCGATGCTTGGGAACCAGACCTCATGTAAGGGGAGAGGCTCACCAGGAACTGCAGA